ATTTTTCACCTTCTTTCATTATTTGAGCCCCAAATTCTGATACTCACCTTAAAGTCAATCATAAAGACCAGGTCAGGGAAGATGAATCATCACAATTGTTCTTTTCAGCAGCAAGTGCTAGTTTTTGACCATTTGTCAAGATCTTTGTTGCTGCTTGTCTGCAGTCCAAGGCTTCTTGTCACTACCTGCTGTAGCGCGGAGGGCAGACACGTCAGCTGGGTCCTGTTTCCCACCAGCCACCCTTCCTCATGCAGCTGCTGCAGCAGCCCCCACTCACTGACAGTACTGCAGCTGCTGTCCACACCAAAGCACTGCAAACACCAAAACAAACAGGTCTGTGTACACATACACACGCTGCTGTAGTGGGTAACTTCTCAGGAGGCTCATATAAGGACAATGCACAAGCTCATCAGTTAGAAGAATGATGTAAGAAATGGGTGAAAGGCAAACCAGAGGGAGGAGGTGGAAGTAAAAGAAGTTACCTAAGCAAAGAAAGAAGCTGCCAGCTCCAGAACTCCACAGCAGCTTTGCTTGAGGATATACAAGTTCCTCCTTTTACATGCAATGAGGCAGTCTCATCTCCCATGCAGAAGTCCAGTCCTGTTCCCCCTGAATTTCTTTTCCATACAGAAAAAGGGGACGTAAGGCTTGGCTTCAAAAGTGATCATAAGAAGGTTAAGCTTGAGTGAATGAGGTTCAAGACAAACAAAAAAATTCAAGCTTTTCTGCATTGGAAAGAGCTGTATAAAGGGCAGAGATGCAGCCTGTCTGTTGCAGGTTCTTTGAACAGGGACACATGGCAAGACAAGAAAATTTAACAAAATGATACCTTATGTTTTGCATGTTCCAGTAAATGCTTAGGTGTCTAAGGATGGTCAAAAAAAAAAAGAATTTTCAGTAAATGGGGCCTTGAAGAGTAGATGGTGACTCCTGCTGCTGTTGCAGCACCCCATCTCACCTTTAGCAAGATTTAGTCCCAGTGGTTTTGCATTTAACCTTCCCTTTTGTGGGGCGTGGGGGGAAAGCAGAAAGGAGGATAATTTCTAGGACTGGGAGGTGGACATTACATTGAGGAGACTGCTGCCACTAGCAGGTCATGGCTCCGAGGCCATATGAAATGAAGAAGCTGTGAGTGGAGGCAGAGGAGAGCAGTTCTGCCAGCCTGAGTTAGTCTGGTCCTGGAGAGAGAGCATTTGTGCACTGCAGCTGGGGCCTGGAGCTACTCTGTTCCCCCCAGGCAAGGATACCTACCAGGATATGTAAAGCACTTTGACAAAGGTACCTTGGGACAGGGGCAGCAAAGCTTTCAATTCAGCTGGGACCTGCAGCCCTTTTGATGGGGAGCAACAACCAAAGAAGTCTCTTAATCCTTCTAGGCTCTTACATGTACTGTATATGCTGACATGGTTGCCATCACCTTTCCCACTCTTCAGGTTGTTTGATTTCTGTACTGGATGAGAGGCAAATTGAGCTGCCAGCTTGCTTCATGGATAAGGATGAAATCCAGTGCATCTTGTCCAGCATACACAGCAAGTCTGCAGCAGGCAACTGAATGCAGGATCCCCTGGCCATAGGCTAATGCTAAAGCAGGTGGACTGTTCATCCCCAGAGTTAAGACTCCTGCTCCTGCCACATCGTCTGAGACACTTGCACTGTTTGTGTTTGCATACAGTTTTATTTTGTCTTTGGTCTGGAGATTAAAGTAGCTTTGAGCAAAAGGACTGGAATGCCTGCCCATGGCAATCCTGCGTTACACAGGGTTTGTCTCTGAGGCCCACTCCTGTTTATATGGAAGCTTAATTAAAGATGAGTGAGAAAGGGCTGGAGTTCCCTTAGTGGTAGAGAAGAGGTGTAAATTCAGTACCTGAATATGAACTTCATCCTGCTGTGAGAGACAAAACTAAAATTCTGTCTCCAAGTGTTTCTGGGCAGGAAGCTTTGAAATGGTTTTCCTAAAACAATTCCTAAAGTCTAGTGTGTTTTAACTGATAAAGTGTTGTGTTTCCAATTCAAACCTGAAACCCATGATAGGATCCAGCTTTGTATCTGAGCCCATAGAAGAAATAATCTGTGAAATTCAGGTAAAATTCTAGACTTCAAAGAAGTTTCTTGTGACAGTGTTTCCTTGGGCTGCTTGTTTATTTGTTTGTGGAGGTTGTTGGGTGTTTGGGTTTTTTTAAAGAAGATCTAGGTGTTTGAATTGGCTGTTTCTCATTCTTATGACTACCAAGACTGAAGAGCTGTTGAATGTCACAACAATGTAGAAAGAGATATGTCTGAACTCTGCCTTTTAGTAACATCTAATTTTTCTGCTTGGTGCTTCAAGGCTGTAGTGGAAGGAACCAGCCAAATGTACAAAAAAATATGAGTAAAATGTTACTAAAAAGAAAAATGTTTACAGGTGGGTCTCCATGCTCTGCCACTGGACAGTCACATCATGCTAACATAAGCAATTCTGAAATGCATTCTTATTTCTAAGCTCGCCTTCTTGTGTGGAGTTGTTTTCATTTGCTTGTACTTACATGTCTAGTCACTACTGACTCTCCCACAGGCAGATTGTAGGGTCATGGCCTTGCTCCTATTTCAAGTTTCAGTGGGGAAAGCTAAACATGAAGGAACTATATGTAGTCTTTGGCAGAATCTACAGAAATCTTTTTTCTGTGTGTACAGAAATCTTTTTTTCCCATCCAGTTTTTGCTTTTTGCAGACTCAAATAGAAGTATAAATGGTTTTTTGGGTTTTTTGGGGGTTTTTTGTTGGTTTTTTTTTTTTTTCCTAAATGATTGCACAAAAGCTGTCCATAAGGGTTTAGAAAGCAGCTGTCTGATCCAAAGTAGCAGCTTAAGGGAAGGGGACTTGCAGTCAGGTCCCTCTGGTACAGTGACTCCTTGGGAAGATGCTGTTGCCAGTTCTGTCCAGTAAGTCATCATCCTCTGCTTATTGTGCTTCTTATGGCAATCTTTGTATGGATTAGTGCAACTAATTTCACTGAATTTACAGTTTGTACTTAATTCTGAGACAAGCTTCTGGTCTCTTCTTGCCCTTCATGGCTTGGGTGGGCAAGATCTCAGTTGATCCCTTTAAACTTGAGAACAAGATGTATTTTAATATTGATCAAACTCAGTTATTCCTGGTGGTGGGCCCCATACAGTAAATGGTTTTTTGAGGCTGTTTTGTTCCTTTGAAGAATGATGGCCTAGCTTGAGCTCAGGCCACCATTCTGCCAAATGCCACATCCTGAAACCTATTTCTGATGGGCATTAAGGCCTCTTTCAATCGTATCTCCTATGAAACATTTGATTGTGAAAAAGGGTGTGTAAGTAGATAAGCTGGGTAAGGTGCAAGAATTAGAGTTCATGACCTTTGCTTTCACCATGAGGCTGAGTATGTTGGTAAAACAGATTTAGGCAGTGACAGGAATTCTGCAGACTGCAGTTTTCTGTGCAGACAGTTTTGTATGCAGAGGATGAAGTATGTCATCCTTGCAGTGGAAGATGATGGGACATTGATCTGTTGGGATGCCTGCACCCTAGCCTTGAGCTAGAGAGCTCTTCTTTTTATATACCTTAAGGAATATGAATAATTCAGTAAATTAAAAAATGGGAGACTGTCCAAGAGGATTTGGGTGCATGCGGGGAAGAAGTGTCATGGCTTTTGTTTTGTAAGCTGCACAGCTAGTCCCTGGTGGCTGCTGTTTCTCCTCTTTACTGAAAGACTGCCTTAGTTTCCCAGTTTAGTGAATTGCTTCTCAGAGAACCACAAAATACTTCCCAATGCATCTCAGTTTACCATTTCTGCTTTGCAAATCAATAAATGTTCCATGAGTGCGTCAAGGCAAGAAAACAATTAATAGCAAGAAAAAGTACTTCCTTGGCTTGCAGGCAGCTCCCAGCTTGCTTCTTTTCCTAGATTAGCAAGGATTTAAGAAGCACATGTTCTGTGTATGCTAAATCAGCTCTGCAGAAACCGCAGCATAGCATCATTCTGGTCTTATCTCTGAATTCCACGGGCAGGCAATCTCAGCTGCTCAGCACAGGCTGGCAGCTTTAGCTTGCCAGTAGGTGCTGAAAGCCATGTAAGCGTGGAAATGACAGTGACACACAGCTCAGATGTTATCTCCGTAGCTAAGCCAAAGGCAGTTTCCATGGTGATGGAGAAGCTCCGGGCCGCTGGGGATGCAGCTGCCGAATTGGACAGGATCAGTAGCCTTTTCATACGGAGGCTGTTCTAATAAAGCTTTTATGTGTTTACGTGGCACTCACTAGGTTGTATCCAGCTCTGGAACATAAAATGAAGCGTGAGGGGAAGATTTAAATTGTTGGAGTGAGTGCTGACCTAAAGATGAAACAGGAAAAGCAGGGTCAAAATGTTTTTATTAATGAAGTATCCACAAGGGAAGCTTTTTTGTGACAACTTGAGTGAATTTGGTATTCTGGTCAGTGCTATTCTGCACACCAACATTAATAGCTCCTAAAATTTTTACATCAAGTGGAAGAGTCAGAATCATGTCAGGTCTTAACTTTCTTCTGATTTGGATCCAAAATCAGAATGGGTCTCTTTCTCTTGTGTTGAGACTATGAATATCCCAGAGACTTGGGGAAAGTGAATGATCTTGTGACTTCTACATCTGAAGCATTTTAAAATGTCTTACACTTCACTTGGTCCCTCTTTTGGGCAAAAATCTCTCAATACCTCAGCACAGGTATGTGGAATTAATTACTTATGTTTCCGATAGCATCTTAGGGCCTCTGCTTTCGCTTCTCTTATTGCTGAGACAGCAGATACAACATCTCCAGGTTTCCCACACTGGAAATACATATTTTGCACTTCTGCTTTGATCTTCTATCAACCTGTGCTCTGTGGGTGCTGCAGCACATCTGCAGGAATTGTCTGTAAAACTGCTCCATTAAAATAGTAATTTAATTAGTATGAATGAGATTTTTGGTGGTGTTAAACTTTGGTTGCTCTCTTTTAAACTGGATTTGTATTCTGTCTTTCAGGTGGTGCAGGGGACCGGGAAAAGATGCCTGTCAATCATGAGGCTTTCCTGCTCATGGCTAATTCCCAGAATGAAATGGAAGATTGGGTGAAAGCCATCCGACGAGTTATATGGGCTCCATTTGGTGGAGGTATTGCAAATAGCTCACATGCACATAAATTAAAACATTTGCCTCAAGGTAAAACATATTCTTGTGATACTAGGATATGTGTAACACTGTAAAATCATTGAGATGTCTAGATAAGCTCATTATTGTCTGAAGTGTTTTGAAGCAAGGGATGGGGTTGATTTTTTTTTTTTTTTTTTTTGTAGGGGATGGACAGGAATGAAAAGGGAGTACACATCCACAGTGTCTAACTGTCTCACTCAGAAATGGGTGGTAGTAACAAACATACTACTATTGCTAGTATTCAATTATTTACAGCAAAGTATTCAGTGGACCTTATGGGAATGAAGGATTTTGTCCTGTTATCTCTATTTTCTTCCATAAGGTCAGATGCCCATCTTGACCATCCATACAGCCAGAGGCAGCAAAAATTTAATTAAGTTAATGTAGGGCTCAGTTGAGAAGGCAAAGGCTTCAATGGGAGTGTAGCCTGAGGAAGAAGAGGGTCAGGCTGAGTGAACACCTGTAGGGTAATAGAGCTGTAGTTAATCCCTGTAGTTAAAATAAACAAAACATCCAGACTTTCATTATTGATATTATACCACAATCTTTGAATTCTCAAATCAGTAGATTAGATAGGAGTGGTTTTTCTCGTTCTGCATAGAACAAGGAGTCACAGATGTTTTCTTCTGGGTTTGGTGTTGGTGACAGCAGCTGCTGGCCTGGTACTGGTTGCTGTGCTTTGCAGTAACTTGGGTACTACTGATGGAGTGCATGCAAACAGCATATGCAGACAGTGCTGTCAGCCTTGTGTGAGAGGTACAGATAAAAAAGTGCCAGATAAGGATTAGGTAATACAATTACTCTTGCTGAAATGAAGTTACTAGTTTTCCTGGATCTAAGGGGGAAAAAAAGTGACTTTGATGTACTAAGACCCAGTCTTTGTTAGTAAATTTTTTCCTAGGTTTGGGGTTTTTTGAGTTTGTTTTTTTTTTTAATTTTTTTGGGGGTGTTGTTTTTTGTTTTGTTTTGTTTCAAGTGGCTGTTGAAATTTGGGTTCTCTAGGTAGCAGCACTTGGTTTGTCTGGAAGAGATACTATCTCTACTGATGCAATTCTTACCAAGGTCCTTCTTTCACTTAGCAGAGAAGGTTTAGGTACAAAAATTAGCTTGTGTCTGATCTGAGGGTACATATGATGCTGTTGTGCTGTGGGCAGAAAAAGCCCTCTTTGCTAGTAGAAAACTGTACTACCAGAAATTCTCCTCAAACATGAGTATGTGCTTCTTTTGCTTCCCTTCTGAATTCCAGTCCATAGTGAAGGGTCTTTTAGACTCAGGTCAGTACAGATCTTCCATCAGAAGTCTCAGAATCTCAGAGATGGTATTTCTGTAGCCATTTGTAGTTGATGGTATGGTGTGTATTTTATAACTTTGCAATGTACATTCAACAAATACTCTGAGGAGAAAGGAGACATTCAGTCATGACAAATGGTGCACTCTCTAGCAATAGCTATCTTTAGGGAATGATATTGTCAGCACTGCAAATTTGGCTTCATGTTTTGCTTATGTTTTGTCCATCCCTTGAAGTAGTTTCAAAACAAATATCTTTAAGTATTAAAATAATAAATAATTAAAAATCCTAATATTGTAAAAACATAAACCTGAGAATAGCACAAAGGCAGTGATGGATTTCCTGGGTTATTTTGTTTGTTTCTTTATGGGACTAGTATTGTCCTGATTTACTGGCTAATTTCCTTTACCTCTGAATTTCTCTGCAAAGCAGTCAAATAATATTTTGGTCTTTTCTTTAAATGAGGCAGATACTCTTACATTGATTCCAGGAACTGGAGATTTATGAGGCACCAAAAAACATGAAATAATGAGAATGTGGAAGCAAGGCAGCACAGAGGTGATTAGAGCAGGGAGATAGTGCAGGGGGAATACAGGAGCTTCTGTTTGTTGCTATTTTCACATCCTGCAGACTTGATGTGGTTCACTGATCAAAGTCAGTAAAGGCTGCTTTGACTGTTGGTGAGAGCTGGCTTAAGCACCGTAGAAGTGAAGCACTCGAGTTTGCAGAGTTGGAAAGAATTGCAGTTGTGTATCAATTTTTCTGTCTGTGGATAAAAACTGGCCAAGGACATGGGTACATGCTGGGCAGTCAGTCTAGCCTGAACTCTCAGCCCTAACACTCAAATGCATTAGCTAAAGCTAGCTTGACTATGCCTGCTCTGTAGTCCAAGCTGCAAGAGCAGATTCTTATGTTGTGGCCACTTCTCTGAGCTGGTCAAGTGTCAGCTACTGTCAGGAGGGGTCTTCTACCCCCTGGCAGCTGTGTGCTCCACCACGCTTCCTTCTGCTGATGCTGCTGAGTTGTGCAGTAGGAAACGAGCTGGCAGGAAATAAAAGGTGGGGAGGGTTGGTTTGTAGGTGGATTGATTCCTTGGCCCTGCTATCCATGCAGCTGCTACACCAGTAACCCCAATGGGGAGACATGAGGACGTGGAGAGGGGCAGGCTTCGTCATTCTGCCTGCAACCCACACATAAATTGGCTTAAAGAAGCCATGGAGCTGCATCCTTAGTTTCTTTACACTTCAAAAAAATGTATAGGAATGCCAATAACTGGGAAACAGTAAAGATATTGAAACCATTTTCCCCAAATATTTTTTAGCCAGTCTGGGGAAATGATCAAACTTATACCTTCTCCATCATAATCAGAGTAGGACAATTTCTCTGAGTAAAATTCCAGCTTAACTCAAATGTGGGAGGACAATACACATAGCTGTCTCTGTTTTAATGGAATAATTTGAACTCTGCTTTGCCACCACCACTAATTTGAGAGCCAAGTCTATCTATCAACACTTTTTAATATATTAAGCTAAAGGGAGGAGTTAAAAAGCAGGCTTTAATATGCAAATATCCAGCCCTAGAGAAGGCTGATATGGTGTAAAAATGAATTATGCCAAGATAAAAGGAGTGGCTTAACCACACTTTAATCTTTGCTGATGTACTGAAGAAACATAAACAAAAAAAGGTTGAGGGTACCTTCTTATGTTGATGAGGGCATATGAACTGTGCTTAAAGGTTAACAGCAAAGGCTTCTTAAAATAAAACAGAAAACTCCCCAAAGCAGCTGAGGTTCACAAATTACTCATAGAAAACACAGGTTTAAAAGTCTGTATGGAATGTGTTCTTTGAAATATGCTTTAAATGTGGCCTTAAAATAAAATTGTAGAGTTCCTAAGTCTTTTGAAGAAGAGCTATCTTGTTTATAGGGAAAATAACCTCTAACAAGTTTCCTTGAGTTTCAAGCTCCTGAATTCTCGAGTCTAGTACATCTCATTTAGAGCAGAGATTTGAGAGTACTCCATACATTTTGATTGTCATTAAGAAAGAAGTTTGTCACAGTAACTTGATAAAAGTGAGTTTTGCACATTCTGACAGAGGTTGATTGAAACTGTTTTCTATGATCCTTCATATCTCTGTAACAAATTTTGCTCCAAGCTTACATCACTAAAAGCTTATCTGGAGGGTCCCTCTGTGTCCTACATTTGTGCTGTTCAGTGACTGCTCATTAATGTGAAGTGCATGTAGCAGTGCCACAGTGCTAAATCAAAGGGTTTGTGGCCATAGGCTTGGGTGAGAGTGACCTTGCTCTTGCTTGGGAGCAAGCTGTATTGAAATTTTTGATGTGGCTGGGGGAGAGAGGAAGTCTTGGTCTGTACAAGTGTGGTGGGGCTGTACTTTTAGTCTGGGAATGGCACAGCCACTGCAAAGAAGTTCCTTTTCATGTGACTTCCTCGTTTCTGTCTTACAGCAGCTGTTTATCAGAGTTGTCTAGGACTGAATTTCTGGCCATGACATACAAAACCTAAGATTCTTGGTGCCTGAGCTGAATGCCAGGTGGCACAATTCTCTCACAGCTCAGTACACAACCAGCACAGCATGGGGACAGAATCATCCTGTGTTAAATTTGATTTATGTTTGTATTTGTTTTCTTCTGTTTACATATTCTGTCTTGCCATGAGCAGCTCCTTGCTTCTCTGCCAGAAATACATGTCCCAGCCCCTTTCTTTCTCCATTACTTTAGCCTAATTTCTCCTCCTCTTCATCCCAGGCTTTCATCAGTTACTTGTGATCGAGGGGAGGTGAAGCAGTTGGAAGAGATGTGTTTCCCCTTAGGCAAACATGAAGAGCTTTACCCTGTGACAAAGTAGTTGTGTTGCCAGAGCTTCATGAAGTTTTTCTATTCAGGAGGAATAGTCACTGTAAAACTGGTGGAATCTGAAGAAATGTCTACTGAGGAAACTGTTCTACTGTCATTAATTCCAGACACCTTTCCTATATAGATAAACCATGATGTGTGGATGTTTATTCTTCTGCCAGCAAACAGTGCAGAGAATGGGGTTTTTTTGGGGAACCAGGGCCCTGTGAAATTGTGTCTTGTATAAGGGGAGAGCTGAAAGATGAGGTGTCTGAGGTGTAATTTAATTCCTGGCTCAATGTCCTAATGGGTAGTGGAAGATTAACCCTGCATCAGGCTAATTAGGGATCCTGCTTTAGAGAAGTAAATATCTTTGAGATAACATCTTCATGAGAGCAAACATGACTGTTTTGAAGGGTCAGATATTGATATTAGATGCATATCCACCAGGATGCCAAACTATTTAGGAGCTAGGGTACGACATTAAGTTTTGGGAATCTTGAGTTTTAATTTTCTACCTGTAAGATGGGAATTTTACAGTAAGAGCAGCATAAACCTAAAGCCATGTCAGTGAATTTAAGATGCTAAAATACCACTGAATAGGTAATGAAGAGGAGGAGGGAATTGGCTTCTGTATTTGCCTAGTCTGAAGACAGAGAGGCGGTTTCTACTCCCTTGTTTGTGGGGTCCCATGGAGTGACAGCCTCAAGTAGGATTCCTAACTGGGTCAGGAGGAGCCCCTTCAGGAGGTGTCAGGGTGTGCTTCCCTTGGGCAGGCTCCCCCAGGTGTGTGGGGAGTGGCACTGGGTGTTTGTTGTGCTTGATACCTGCTGTTATCTCAGCACCGAGATAGCTGGCGCCTGATGC